ACACACACACACACACACACACACACATGCACGCATAGATCTACGCAGAATTACAATCACATGCATAATATAAATTAGCAGCAATATTATAAACAATATTCAATCTTTGCTAGATATATACTGATGTTAGTCTGGTGAATGCTCGAAGGTCATATGAATACTTATAATCATAACAAGATGGTTAAGATGGAAGAATTTTGATGGATGATGGTAAAACTTACCTTTTGTATCTTTCTTTGCTACAGATCAGACTATAAAAGGTCTTTTACTTCTGACTGATGTTTTTATTTGAGGGAACACGTACGGGATTTGTTGTCTAAAAAGATGGAATTAATTTTTTTATAGCTCAGGCTGTTCTTTACATTTCATCCCAAGCAGGGGAATATTTATGTAGACTACGTTGAAATTTTACGTGCTTTCCGTATCAATCGATTTACTAATTTTCTTTGTCTTGTTGTCTTACGTGTTACCGGCCCAGGCTGTTATTCAAAAATTGATAATACTTTCTATGGTTGAATGGTAGAAAGGACATCAATGTTTTATAAACATTTATGCAGAGGCGAAGCGTCTATATAATCAAATAATCACTGCTTCCCTTCCTAATTTTGAAACATTGTCGCAGTCAAATTCACCCATAGACGTAAACCTCATAAATTAAATGTAAAAAGACGTTCATAATCACCAATGAACAATAGACTATGCCTAACCTTCAAAACCGTTTCATTGCCACAGAAATAGCCTGTTCGCCCCTATCGGGCCACTCCATAAGCAGTCACAAGCTTTGATTAAGTAAGCTTAAAGTGAGGCTGGAAGAGTCATCCAATAGGGTTGAAGGGAACACGTGCATAGCAGTCAGAACTGTTTCATTGTCGTATATACCCTGTTCACCCCTTTCGGGCCACAGTTATAAGCACCCAGACGCGCTGATTATCTAAGCGAACTATTACACTGGTCGAGTCTATCTCACAGATGTGAGGGGAACTAACTCCTAATAATCCTTTGACTCCTGCTACTACACTGCTAGTGCTTGGTTTTTTTCCTCGACTTTTTAACGTCCTATAATCAGATCGTGACCTCGATTATGACAGCGGCTCCTGGCCGCGAAAAGCTAGACAAAAAACAGCCCAAATGTGAAATAAAAAATAAATAATTGGCGTGCTCAACCAAAGTGTTTTGCCTGTCTGGTATAACATGCCATTGTAGTGCTGACATCTGTGCTTCTTTCCTTGGTGTTCGTGTGTTCAAATCTAAAGTTAAATTTAAGGTTAGTTAGAATAAATATTTAATGAAATACTTTCCCGATTATTTTAGCGGTTGAACAAGCATACAACATGAATTCAGGATTTGTTTTCATTCACAACTCAGAGTTGCCGCCTCCAGTGCCAGGAAGATTCTTGTGACTTGTGTGAGTGTGATATCTCCAGGCCATATCTGGTCCCATTTCACTTTGATTACCCTGTCAAACAAGTCAGCCTTCGCCCCTGCATTTATGTACACATCTAAAGGCAGTACAATAATACATGTAATCATTAATTTTCCAACTGGCCTATCATCGAAAGTAACCTGAGCAAAAGGCTAAAGATACCCAACTAAGCTTAAACACAATTAAAACAAAAAATCGATAGTTTGCATTTGACTCCCCCCCCCCCTCTCCCCCTCTTCATGCCCCCTAGATCTACCTACTCCAATTTGTGTTTAGTGTTTAGAATTAATTAATAAAGCATTAATTACAATTTGGGTAAGGGTTACAAGATAATAGCGGCGTGATTTGGTCCCCAATAACACACACACACACGTGTTTACGCGCATGCATTTGCATTCGTGTCACACATAATCGATTGGGAGTTTGTGTTGTACGGAAATAAATCAGTTTGCATTACAGGAAATTTCTCTCATTCAGAACTAAAAAAAAAAAGCAAAAACAAAACAACAAATTAAATAAACAAACAATATATGCTAACACCTTACGGGGTGCCCACTACGGCTGGATTGGGCCGATCGCCCGACTCGATCGCCTGAAACTGAAAACAAACACGTTTGTTTTTGAGGCGATCGAGTCGGGCGATCGGCCCGATCCAGCTGTAGGCCTAGTGGGCACCCCGTATTACAGAAGCTGGCCAGTGGCCACCCAACTTTCGTTGAATTGATGTCAAGTTTTATTTTTTTTCGCGATTGTAAAAATGCCAACCGAATAACATCCACCCGAAAAAAAGAAACAAGACTTTTGTAATCAGCTTGCAAGAAATAACATTTTTGAGAGGTGTATATCTTTAATTGATCCTGTGGTGTACTTTAAAATATCTTGATAAAAAAAAACCTCTTCTCAAGTGGGACCCCTCGTGGAGTTTGCAAATCTGTGTTTGGATCCAACCCGGCAACATAGTTTGTCATCGTCTGTCGGCCATTTTGGTTTGTTGAACAGAACGAACGAACAGTGTGAGAGAGAGAGAGATAGTGAACGGAATCGCATCATTCGTGATTTCAAAAGTGAATATCATTTGGCTTGTATTCTACGTGAGTATGTCTGTACTTGAACCAAGCAGATGTCACGATAAATAGTACAGACTTTACTATGACATTGCATATGATCAGGTTTTTATTTTTTTTCCTCCCTCCTCTCCTGAGACTGAGACAAAAAAAGGAAACTAAAAAAAGATCAGGACATTATTGAGTGAGGAGGCCAGCCAATACACACATAAAATTAAAATAGCCCAGGAACAGATTCAAGCAATGACTTCAGCTTTAAACAGTTTTTTATCAGAGTCTTTTCGATTGGGGATCCACTTCGAAAGTCAAAGGTCCTAAGGATAGAAGATGCACAACGAAACGAGCAGATCACATCATCATTCAATTGTGACAAATTCAAATGGCTATGAAACTGAAACAAGTCAAGAAGACTGAATCCTTCTCTCAGTCTCAGGCCTCAGGCCAGAGAATCTCTGTTGTCTTTGCATTCTTGGGCTTGGGAGTACATAGGCTATAGAGGCATAATAGGCCTAATTTGGCAGAGAGGGAGGAACAAGTGCTGAAATTAAGTCTCGCATTGGAACAGGCTGCTTTCGGGAGGACTTCTGTAACGAGCGACCACTACGATGAGACAGAGCAGAATTGAGGGCTTGGGGTAGGGGTAAGGGTAGGGTTAGGTCTAGGCCTCTTCTTTATTGTGTTTGATGGGGTGGTCGCTTGTTATGGAAGTCCTTCCCTGCTTTCAGCTAGATTTTTCTAGATCTATCTTATCTTTGAAGTTCTAAGACAAGAGGATTTGGAAGACCAAGGCCAAGGAGGATCTCGCACAACAAATAGATCTAGAATCTAGATCTAGATCTAGAGTGGTGTAGCCCCTGCACGTGCGCCTTCTCGGTGCTTGCACTTTTGTTTTCCTTTGTTTTTAGCCTCAAATTGCGTTATTGCGTTTGATTGAATGCGTCAGTGTGTGCAGCAGCCATTTTTGTTTACTTCCATCACTCGTTTGCCGACAAGGGATCATCGAGAGTGTTTTATTAATAAGCTGTGGGAAGTTGACATTCAACGCTGACCTGTGAACTAGTTTTTATGACCTATTTGTCTCTGATTGGTTCAAATAGACTGTGCGCGCCCCCTAGCTTAAAAAATGTGCCTACTCCTTCCTTGAGTGTTTCACGTGACCTTTTATCGAGTTCTATGCCAAGTTGTAATGCGGGTTTCGGGATCGGGGGGGGGGGGGGGGGGGTGCACGCGTTGTGAAGACTGAAAAAACTAGAGTTTTCTCTGCGCGTGCACAATGAAATATATATAGTAGAATACTAAGAAAAAAAAAGTAGACTCAATTTTAGAGATTATTTGGTTGCAGTTTGAAGAATGTCATGGATGGTGGCATGTGGACTGTGTGAAAGATGGAAAGAGTGATGAAGAGTAGGAAAATGTGGATTTTAGTTGTGAAAAATTCTGTTTGATTTTTTTTCACTATGTATTTGAACTATTTATACCCCCTAAATTAAATTAGTTTAGATTCTAATTAAAATTGTCTTACTTTGCTTCTAAAGTGACTTGTTATCTTCCTGTGTGGTCATTTAATGCAGTAATGTTATCAGATTCCTCTTCTTTTTTTAGGCTTTCAACGTGTATATAAGGGTGCACGCACAGTGAAGAATCCCATGCACGCTCTGAGACTGAGAAGAAATACACGTTCAGTGAAGACAACACCCTAGGTTGGAAAAACTGTTGGGCACACGTTTAAGAAATCTGGCGACTATGAGCAAGACCATTTTATAGGTCAATAGTTTCTTGAATGGAATAGCTAAAAACGAAAGTACTAAGCCGGAAATGGCGGAAAATACGTTCAACGATCGCGAAGTGCACGCGTACCGGCGACACCACTCTAGATCTAGATATCTAGATTAGATCTAGCTAGAGAACTACTGTCTTACTCTAAGACTTAACGCCATTTGGCTGATAGCCTATTTATATTAACAGCCGTCTTGTTTGTTGATGTCATTTAGCCCAAAATTCTCTACTGCACGATCTTTGATTGAGGGATTCCCCCTTTGTTAATGTTAGTCATGGTGGCAACACGATCGCACGACGGCAGCCTGCCGACTCGGATGATTTTCTTTACAATTTGCAGAACTGTTCCGTTTGGTTGTCTGTGATTGTGCAGCACCCTTCCACCCAGAAAGATTCTGATGCTGTACGCGACGTAAACTGAGAAGACTTTTAGGCTTGCGTACGAAAGCAAGTTCAAAGTTCAACTACGTAGTGCAAATGATAGACCGTTTTGATCCGGATCGTTTCTTAAAAAAATTTTTGTAAGCACAAGAAATTAAACACTAGATCTAGATCTAGATCTAGAAATTGCACTCAATAGGATGCTGAGCTGCAAATGGAGTAGATCTAATTGGAGACTGCAAGGTTTGCAAGTATACTGTGAGGTACAAATTATAATAAAAGTGACTATTTCTCTGAACGTTTGGGAAAGGCCGTCGTTATTCGGACTCGAGTCCGAATAACATTTTTTCATATTCGGACTCGAGTCCGAATAATAAAATTTCTTATTCGGACTCGAGTCCGAATATGAAAAAATGTTATTCGGACTCGGGTCCGGAAAAAAGGAAGTGTCTTCGTTCTATAGATCTAACGTTCAGTGCTTCCAATTTTCCACCATTTTTTAGTTTCCCCCACACCTTTTCTGCCGATCCGATGCCCGCCGCCTCATTGATACGCGCCCCCACCCCGCCCCCCATGTTTCCCACTTTCTTTGTTGTAGAAAAAGGTAAAATTGAAGATTAGCAGACCACCTTGCACCTGCATATTATGAGCTGTGTAAAAAAAAAAAGACCGATTCGTTCAAATACACAAGCCTGTGTCATTTCGATTGTTTACCAAGAAAAAGTTGTGTTGCTGTGTAGAGCTGAGCATACGGCAACTTTTGATTCCATAGACCAGCGCACAATTCATTACGTAGATCTACGTCAAGATTAGCTTATTTTTGTAATAATGATCAGTTGCCAGGGGGAAAAAGACTGACGCGTATGCGACGTTCAACGCCCGGACCGATAGTGCTCCCCCACCCCCCTCCTTGACACGCACACACAGCCACACGTGTGCAGGAAGCCCATCCGACCCTGACACACGCTAACGAGCCATCTTTAATTGCTTCTGATGACCTTTTGACAAATAAACATTTATTAGAAGCGCTATAACTTTTCAGGCCGGCCTCAAATTCATCATAAGATAAGAACTCGGCTCCTGCACAAAACGCCTTTTTTCCCGAAGTAATCCCAGTCTCTACCCAGCCTGAGGCGAGTCACGAGTGAGGCAGGACAGGAAGCCGGAGTCACGAGTCACAGGAAGTCGGAAGTGATGTCATGCTGGACAAGAATCAGAGTCCGAATAACATTTTTTCATATTCGGACTCGAGTCCGAATAGTCACTTCGTTCTGGAAAATAAACTTGAACTCTATTTCTGCTAACGGTTTCCGTTCTCGAGATCTTTTGGTTATTTGCGAGATTAAGGCGTCGTCTTTCATTCTGCGAGGACTTGGAAAGAAGCATTTTTTGCATCAAATTCACTTTCTAGAGCTAGTGTAGAGATTTTTAAATGTCTGAATATATTCAGATACTTGGGGCAACGTTCCTGGACAATACTTCATTTGAAAATACCTTCAAAAGGTACTGCGAGAAAACAAGACTGATCGACCTTGGCAGTAACCTATTTTGCATTAAGTTATCCAGCAAAAAATAAAATCGTTCATGTAAAAAAAAATCCCTCCACACCCCCCACCCCCGTTCACACCTTAGGCCACACACGCATGCACACTCACACACACATGCACACTCACACGCACTCACACACATACACACACACGCGGGCCACTCCATCCGCAGTTATTATCAACAAATCTCGAGAACGGAAACTGTTAGGAGAAATAGAGTTCAAGTTTATTTTCCTGAACGTTCGGAGAAATAGAGCCGGCCAATTATAATACATACAAGGGGGAACATTGGGAAAGACTCAAAGAGGGAAGCTTGGAAACTGCCAGTGCAAACCGCGCGCTATGCAAACTCATCACAACTTTTAAAATCACGGTCAGATGACACGGTGGCATCCCCCTTGCGAGGTCAAACAAGATGGCTATTACTATAATATCGGCCAATGGTGTTGAGTTGTCGTTCTCTAGCTATCCACTTGTGGATCTCACTTTGAACAATAGCTGACTGAGGAACTGAGGATTTTCAATTCAGATCATGTGAAGTCAGTCCTGTTGTATCATGTATGATGGATGTGAGAATATGATAGAATGCATCTCAGACTTGGAAAAGAGGATCAAGGTTTTCTTGAACAAGTGTGTTTTTAAAAGAAAGTTAATGAGGATCAGATGGACAGACAGGGTCACCATCGAGAAAGTGTTACAGTCAAGGACCCAGTCAGATTGAGTTATGAAGAAGGCGATGGCGACGGATTGGACAGTATAAGTTAGCAAGTGGCTATTCTCTGGCATTGCGTCAGTCAATAGATTGGTGGCTAATATTCTTTGGCGTCACAAATATAGTTGCACATGTCCCTTCTCCACAGTTTTCCATCTCCTCTGATAGTTTGCTAAAACAGTTATACATTCTCAGCTCCATGACACAGAAAATGTTGGAAATTGATGTGTACAGTTTGTGAGAAGACATGGAATAACATCTGGAGGCTAGCCAAGGATATGATAGTGGAAGGTGTAAAGTGTTTGTTCGTAGCTTACTATGCTGTGGTGCCGGGTGAGAAAAGCAATGAAATGAACACACCGTAGGCTACAGTAAGTACAGTTGTGTCCGAGTACAGGACAGGATCAGTATGGTCCGACACTCATATGCAAAAACCAAAATTTTCAGAGCCTCAGACAGCTGAAATTGGCCTTGCCCTTAGGAGGGTAATCACTGAACTAGAAATTAAGTGCTGCTACTACTAAAAAATACACCTGAGCATGAAATGGGATTGAAAGTAAAATACTACTCCTTACCCGTACACCTGAAATATGTAATACAATGTGTGCAGATCTGGAAAATTGCTGCATACTCATTTATTACACATATTATATAACAAATTCATGTATATTTCTAACCTAGAAATTAAATTGACTTTTATAGTGATTGCAATATTTTTTATATTATTCAGGAACATGTCATTTCCTGGCCGACCTCCGGTGGGAATGCCAGGAGGTATGCCTGGAATGGCCCCTCGTATGATGCCAACTCAAGGCTATGCATTTGCCCCTATGCCCGGTAAGTTATTTTGCCGTTTGTTTTTCGTCATGACCCGCCTTATCTAGCGTCTGTGTTGCGGCCGCGAATCGCTGCTGCGATTTTGGGCATTTTTTGGTCTCTGCGAATCGCGGCTGCGGTTTTGCACTTATGATATAGAACATTTCTCAAGTCTAACATTGCAGCGATTGCTCCAATACTTTTTTTTGGTGGAGGGGGGGGGGGAATGTTATGTCTCCTTCTGTGTGCACTATATTAGCACATGGTATGTCATGTATAGAAAGGCAGGAAGAGCTATAATAAAAGCTAAAAGAGGCAAAAAGAGGGCCAACTGTTGGAAATAAGATCATGGGTTGCCTTCTGGTCAGCAAGTGTGGTCAAAATGTCACACCTCCTAGCCACTCTGATAATGACATTAATCAGTCTTGCTGATCCATTGCCACCAGTACTTGCCTATTATTAGGACTAATGTTTGACCATGCAAAAACAGAAACAATACATTGTCTTCTTTGTTTTTACCCTTAGCAGCTCTACCTATTTATGCATTCAACACATTCAATCAATGCCACTCCACTTTTGCAAGTAACAGCAAAGTAGGAACCTTTTTGTTGGCTGCTCTTTCTATCAAGGTGGTAGGTAGTGGTCAAATTTCACAACTTTGACTACCCATGAAAGTTTCTCTGTGCTGGCATGCTACTTGAGCACTTTGAAGACAAGCTGGGGTGAGATTTCACACCCACACAACACCCTGACCATGTGCACCACTCAAGGCTCACACGGGTGAGGTAACAGCTACCCACAAGCCGCATCCCTTCCCATCTTTTTTTGCCAGCAGTAAACATATGCCTTGAATTATGTTAAGCCTGACTACTTGTTTAATTATCTCTTCTGGTTTAAAAAAAAAATGGAAATGAAAATGAATGGGCATTTGCTGAAGCTTTTGTTCTTCCTTTTCAGGGATGGCTGGTATGAACACAATGATGCCCATGCAGATGGGGATGATGGCCCCAGTGACAAATTCTGTCTCTGGAATGGTTAGTGAAATTTTTTATTTGGCATGAATATGCTCACAGTCTGAATTTCCAGTGTGTTTTTAACTGTTGCAGTGAAAAGGAATCAGTGTTATGTGGTGTCTTTTTCACGGATAAAGAAAAGAACATTTTTTTGGTATGTATGAGGTTCCTAGAGTCAGAGTCTGTTTCCATTGCTACAAGGGAAGCAAATAGTAATCTCTGTCTCTACCTTAACATGATGCTCTTTGTCACAAGTTTTCCATTCAGGTGCAAGTACCTATTTTTTATTTGGAGACAAAGAGAGAGAGAGTATAATGCCTTTTAAATCGGCATGGTTTCATACATTCATGGAAGACTTACTTCTTTGTTCAAATCCTTATAGAAGTGAATGATTTCTAAGCAGTTCTAGTGTCTATGGAAAACTGAAAGGATTGGGGGGGTGGGGGTTAGGATTAATAAAGGTGCTAAAAGGATTTTCCTGATAATAAAGATTGCTATGGCTATTTTACAAAAATATTGTTGGGAATAATAATGGGAAGATGGAGAAAAAAGACCAGAGATATAATGTAAAATGCAATTCGGCTTTGTTCCTGACAAGATCACCAAAAATGCTATACTATATATTCACCTTAAAAATGTTAATGGAAAGATGTATTGAAGTGCAGAAAGATCTGTATTTATGCTTCATAGATTATTCAAATGCGATCGATAAAGTTAGACATGATGAGCTATTTGAAATAATGGAAAAGGTCTGAGAATTATCAGGAATTTGTACTGGGACCAAGACGTTGTTGTACAAATTAATGTAGAATATAGTGAATATAAGCAGATTAGGAGAGGAGTGAGGCATGGATGTGTTATGTCACCAGACCTCTTTTATAAATGGGTAACACAGGGAAAGATCAGGGAGACGTAGCTTTTTAAAGAGCATCCGAGCAAAGGAATGAATGGAGAACCATGATCGCAGATCTGGCACTGGATAATGATGCAGACAAGTCATCATGGATCAGGGCACATAGACCACCAACATTTTCCACCTTTCCCTATCCTGAGCTAGCCTTTTGAAATATGCATTATTCTATTTCTTCCCACTTTTCTGTACATCATTTTCTGTGACTCTTCTCCGGGTTCCATGTGGCCTTCTCCTTAATCGCTTACCCTGTGGATTCCAATCCAGCAATAATAAACTAGTGTGACTTGTTCTTTTTTCTCTTTTGTAATAGATGATGAGACCTATGGTGGCGACACCCCAAGTGCCAGTTCAGCCTCAGCAGCATATGAAGCAGAATAAAAAACTTGTCCCTCAAGAAATTCCTAAGGTAAAATACAGATGGAAGTGACTGCATTGTTTATGAATGCCTTATTTGATAATGATCAGTAGTGCATTTCTAGCCAACGGGGTCTTTTTATTTTCCAAAGTATAGAAAAGATTGCGGCTATCAAAAGTCCCATAAATGATTTGAAAATTAAGTGTAATCGTAATCACCAACAATATGACCATTGTGGGGTAAGTATTGTGCTGGCGTCTGTCATCACAGTTCATTTAGAGGAACGAATACTGAATAATTGCATACATTTTAAAAAATGGTTCTGGGTTTGATGGAAGTTGGGATATGCATCCTAAGAGATCATCATTTTTGGGCAATATTGAAGATTTCAGTGTTTTTAATTAAAACATTTTTCCCTTTAAAATCTTTTATCAGTCAAGTTCAAGAGAAGAAAAGCCACCTGTAACGACAGTATTTGTTGGGAACATCAGCGAAAGAGCTCCAGATATGATGATTAAGCAAATGCTTCAGAGATGTGGGAATGTTCTCAGCTGGAAGCGTGTGCAAGGAGCATCTGGAAAGTTACAAGGTAAATACAATTAAATGCTATAAAAAGTACAACTGTTTTATTGTAAATTAAAATATTTTAATTTGGACTTTAAAAGAAAAATGTTATGTTTTTAGATATATTTAGTCTATTAAAAATTTATTTTTTATACAGTTGTTTGGAATTGAAGATTTCCTCTCTTTCAAAAACTGTTTTTGGCAAAATTGTCTTATCTAGAAAATGAGAGCAAAAATAATGTCTTTCCCCGCTTATTCATACTTCATACCATGGAGAGTTAAAAATACTTTTAATGTTTTGCTTTTGTTATTTTATGACATATCAACTGAATCAGGAAATTTCAGCATTATGTTTTTTTCTTTTCAGCCTTTGGATTTTGTGAATATGAAGATCCTGAAGCTACATTACGGTGTATTCGATTACTGAATGAATGGCAAATATCGGAAAAGAAACTAGTGGTAAGTTTGTAGAGTGTCAGATCAGTAAAGAATAACATACAGGCAGCAAGGATTGTCTTTTTCCATGGGCTGATGTGCCCGGTGTTGTGAATTTTATTGATGTGATTCAGTTGTTACTGAGTTATAAAATCAGACAAGATAAACCTTGTTTAAACCCTTCCGACAGAACTTTTTCTTTCCACATTTTAAAATTTAAAATTTGTATTGTATGGATTTATGGACTTCAAAATCTACTTTTAATTTTTTTACCAGTCTGAATAACTGGAAATAAATTGAAGGAAGATGAAAATTGCTGTTAAACAGAATACTTTCTGTTTTATATTCATTTGATTTATTTGACTTATCTGCTATCAATATGTGCCTTTTGTGTATATTTCGCTATTGCAAGTTCTTATTTATACATTTACTTTTAAAAAAAGAAAAAAATATGGGCTAAGTTCGCTTTTTCTCTTTGCAGGTTAAAGTTGACGCAAAGACAAAGACACTGCTGGATGAATACAGGAAAAAGAAAAATAAAACTGAAGGGAAAGAGACCAAGAAAGACTCATCAGAAACAAATGGTGACAAAAAAGAAGAAACTGAGGATGGAGAGGTAAAGAAAGAAAAAGAAGAGGAGAAAGCGGAATCAGATGTGGTTGAGGATCTAGATGAAGACACAAAGAGAGAAGATCGTGTTGCTTCTGCTGGCTTAGAGGCAATCATGCGAGAGTATGCATTTGAGTTGGCAAAAGAGCCTTCTAAATCCAGTGAAGCTGGTAAGTTCCTCATATTAGATCTGTGAATTAGTAATCATTTATTTATTATGTGATTTCCCTATGTGCTATGATTTTAGCAAATAAATTGCGCTACAGTGCAGATGTGTTGCAGTGATAAAGACAACAGTGTGACAGATTGGAATGAAAGCTTAAAGGGTTTTAATTTAAATTTGCTGTTTTATATTCTATGTTCTGATCTGATTTCTCTGCTGGCTGACATGTCAGAAATGGTTTATTCGTCAGGGATGCCACTTTTCCGCTTTTTTCCGGTATTTCCGGTATTTTGCTCCTGATCCACTGTTACGTTATTGAGATCGAGATATAGTTGGAAAGAAAAAAAATAAAATAAAAACCCACTCTATGTCCACTATCCTTTGGGTTTCAAATTGATATTCATATGTTAGCAAGACTGTGGCACGTGGGTTTTCAACTATTTTCAAAAAAGTTGACTGACTCCCCTGATTCATAGTGGAGCTGTGATTTCTGTGCTGCTTCTACTTTTGTGATTTCCCTCACATCTGTTTCTTGCTATCCCTGTGTTGAGTGCCTCATTGAATGGGTGAAATTGAGCAATTTTTTTTCCAAAGATATCTTACCATTATGGGGAATAGAATAAGCAATCTGTTTGATATTTCATTTTGCATTTTTATTTTTAACGATTGGTCTTTCACTTGGTGATCATGATACTGAGGTGTAAAGAAAATTCTGAATACATTGTCCCACCACTCACCTTATTCATTCTATGTAGTGTTGTGAATATTTTGTTTATGGATTATTTAGTGCCATTTTTTTTGTTTTATGGGCCAAGAGTATTTGTTCTTTAGCTTGAGTTAGTTTCTTTAGAATTTTTAAAGGGTATAATGCTGTGTGGAGTAACTGGTCTTCTTTTCTCTCATCTTTAGTTGTTGAAAAAGAGAAAGCCCTCCCTAAGAAGGACAAAGATTTGCTTATGCACTCCAAAGACACTGTAAGTATTTTATTACATTAATTTCCTAAAAAAGGCATTGGTACTATGAAAGTTGCATTCTTTGAAAAGAAAAGATTATATAAACCTGACATGCTTAAAGAAATTGACCTGTTCAGAATGAATGTTTTGTTCATACAATGTACTGAATGTTTCAGGGATTCTTTTTCTACATTCTATCTTGTACGTCTTCTAAATAGACGTTATTGTAGTAATTTTGAAAGGGAATTGTTTTGTTGTAAATTTGAAGGTTGTTTCTATTTTCATTAATTTCACTAAAATTATCTTTTTGCATGTCTTCTCTTTGTATTACTTGATTAATTTTGTTTTGTTTTGTAACTGATGTGTGAAGGGAAGTTGGGGTGTGTGTTGAAATCCATTGCATGAAATCCTGAGAAAATTGGATTATTACATGCAAGTGCTTGAAAAGTAAATATCAAAGAAGCTGGCTCCAGCCAGAAGGAGAATTGTTGCTCTATTTGAGCACAAGGCAAATTTCAACTTTGTGCTGCACTCCATGAATAAAAGTGTTGTATTTTTTTTATCGGCATCTTCTTGTGTGGGGAGTTGTTAACACTCTCATAGGAAGTCATCTTTCTGTGCTACTCTTGCATCAATTGCTTCCCAGTGCCTATAAAAATTATTTTCCATAATTTTACTGGGAACCTCGGATAAGTGCTTCTCCACTTAGGGTGCTTTGGCTTTTAAATTTTGTTTTGACGTCCTGGTGGGTGTAATGTAAACATTCTGTCCAAAATTCTGTGGATTCTACAACTTTTTCATCTGTTTTGTGCAATAGACTGTGAAGCATTTTGTAATTTTTGTCCTCTTGAAGGCTAATTTAAGTTTCAATGATTCCAGGATTTCCAGCGAGTGGTAAAAAGACGTACGGGGGTATGTCTTTTTAACTGTTAAAAATCTCTTCTCATTGTGTGTGAGCAGGGTTATTGTTACTTTGTTCGGTCTTACGTTCATTCCTGTTTTGTATTTTTATTAACAAATTAACCTTACAGTAGCAGAAAAGATCATCAAAATATGTATTTGCATGGTTTATATTAAAAAGTAGGCTTATAGAACTTCCTGAAGTAATGCCATTGATTAATTGATAGGAAAGGCTATTTTCTGGCATTCTAATATCTTTTAGCCCAGCAAAGGGAATCATTTATTTATGCCAGGTCGAAAGAAAGCAACTCTTGTTCAAAGTGCTGTAAGACTTATCCTGTGCACTGTGCATTATAAAGGGGTTTTTTGCCGGGGGGGGTTGGTTGTGAACATTTTCAGGTTATAATAATGCAATATAAAAATATATATATATATATATATATGCATTTTGTCAAAAGTGAAAAGTGCCAATAATGCCATGTTTGTTGTCATTGGTTTCCAACATTAAAAGTAATGCAGTCTTTCTCCCCCCTTCTCTCTCTCTCAATACTGCTCACCCCACCTCTGTCCTTCTTCCTATTGCCTTGATATAAAACTTGCCAGCTATTTTAAGACAAGTGTATAAAGATGGAAAAATACTAGATTAAGGGTCTGAGTTCTGAGCTGTCCTTTTCTCTTAAACCTTACTAAATGGTAAGGTTGATTCACAACTACTTTTATCATTATGAGTCTTTGATTGGTCAATATTCTTTGATAATGCATGGACAGTGCACATTAGTTTAAAATATTTTAGCACCATCTAAAGGCAGTTGTCTGGCCTTTCTAACACCAGTTCACCTTTCACAGAATGAACATCCTCAATTTGTGTTCTTCTGCAGGTAACAGAATAGTCCACATTTTGAACAACAGTTCAGTGATTTTGTTATTCTTGTTCCCTTCTGATTATAGCTGTATTTGGATGTAGGCATCCCTGTCATGAGAGCTTTGTACATCAGTTCTGCAGAATGCATTCATTTCTTCATTTGAAATTTTTTTTTTTTTGGTGTTACGTGAGTGTCAAATTTTGCTTTCAGTAAAACAGCACTCATGTAAGAATATTCATTTCGTGATAGGGCTTTGACGACATGGAAATGGAGGATGAGAAACGTGAAATTATCAACAGAGAAATCAACAAGTTCAGAGACAGACATAAGGTAGGTTGAATTAGTCAGTGTCATAACCCAACTCAGTATAAACTGATGAGGGTTTACTCTATTTTTTTTTTCTTTTTTGTTCATTTGTTTCGGTTCGGTTTTAATGTTTTTTTTTCATTTTCAACAACCCCTTGTCTGTGTTTTCTGTCCACAGCGGGCAAGTCATTTTTTTGCCTTAGTCAAGCTATAGCTTTTAGTTGAGATAAATAAAGATGTTAAGCTAAAGATTAATTTTGCTGCAGTGAGGGCAGTTTTGCAAAATACATTCTAATTCTATCCACCCTGTAAATTGACTCCCAATTGTTTAAGAATCTTTGCTTTTTAAAAAAATGCTTCTTGATATGAAGTAAAGACTGTATGAAAGCCCTGTCATTTTGAATTACTGCATTGCATTGAAAGTAGATTTGTAGATACAGTTCTGTGTTTTTTTTTCACGTTTATGTTTGCATATGATAAATGCGTCGATTATGTGAACAAAACCGTTAATAGGCATTTTTTGTTACCAAAAAACCAACTAGATTCTGCTAAGTGCCAAGCTTCCCAGACCAATGCTTATTATTATACAAAGTGCTGCTGGTGGTAAGTGTTTGGATAAAATGTTTATTTATTGATCCTGGGGTGTTAGTTTCATTCTTGTGGGATGTCCAGAACCAGGTAATTCCTTATGTTTGTTTGTGTTTGTCTCTCAAGAGAACAGGTTCCCTATTTCGGGTTTTTGGAACTTCCTGTTATTGTAGAAAAGCAAGATATAATGGAGGGAAAATGTAGTTCTTTCTGTGTTGACCCACGAAAAATGTTGCAACCAGCTGCAATGAGGGTGTTGATTATGAATCTGGTCAACTCTATGAATGTGGGAAATTATTCACAACATTATCAAGAGCTTCCTTGTCTTTTCTGGAATATAGTCCTTTTAATGTTCAAAAAGGGACACAGCAGTATAGCCTTGAAATGACCTTGCGTGTGTGTTTTGGTTTCGGGGGGGGGGGGGGAGGGGGAGGTTGCTATACTCCATTGATAATAAAGTGTCCAGGCGAAATATGAAAAAAAGATGAAGAATTAGATTCTGAATAAGGACCTCTTGCTCAACATCCTTGATGAGAGTGGAAGCTTGGCATTTCCCTAGTGCCTGGAGGTGGGTGCCTCTACATTACCTTTTCATGCAACTCGTATTCCATGGGTGCAGGTTAGAACAACAGGTTAGTGTTTAGACAGAAGTAGACATCGTGATTCCTTTTCTCATTGTCTCTGTCGTATTCATCTTGGGAATCATACATACTCACATGCCAAAACATGCACACCCACGCACACATACATACACTCATGACACGAAGATACAGCTACAGGGATACCAAAATGTTTACATGTACATTTGGATTACTTTAATGCTGATTTTTTCAGAGAGTAAGATACGAGGTTCCATAAGGTTAAGTGTTGTTTGTTTAAAATTCTGGCTGCAGATAAAGGTGCTTGCGAAACAAAAGTATGCTGTAATATTTCAAATGCTGAGGCTTATTGTTGCAGCTGGGTTTTTAGTCTTCTTCCTTTTTCTAATCGTCTCCTGTTACCTCATCTCTGCTTAGGATTTATCAATGTGTCAGCAATTAGTTTGACATATGATTTTCCAGCCTGCGTGTGATACCTTGGGTGTCTTTTCTCATACTGGGATGGATACCCAGGACCATAAAGCACTATGGTGACCCAGTTATATTTAGAATGCAGTCTCTTGCAGGCTCACTTCATAAGATAGTACAAGATACAGGTGTCAAACCCAGGACAAATTATGTTGGTCCATATATCTTAACCCTGGCCATTTTTTGTGGCAACTGAAAGGAATTTCCAAATTTTGTTGAAGAAAATTATTTATCTTTGTGGAAATAAGAAATTAAAATTTAGGGATGATAGCTTTAAAAACCCAAAGCAAGGGAGTAATCCATATGGCTGTAGACTTTCCATGAAACACACACAGATTGCAACAAGTTGAGTACATTTTCATACTTTCTATGTGATCACCTTGCTTGATTTAAGTGTTTTTATTTGTAGAAGCAGTATTTCATTGACGGCAGTATATTTCGCTCAAATGCATGTTTTAGGTACGGTTTTGATCTCCAGAGCACTGGTATCAAGGTGCTAAATCCTTGATTCAAAGAAGATAAGGACTTTTTGAGAATTTGAAATGAGTTTTTGCTCTTGTAATTAGATTTTGCAGACAACGAAATGCCTCTCATCCATTTTGTGGTGCAACTTCAGCTCAAATATTCTCTAAATGACTCAAGATTTTAAGTGACATATTTGGAAATTGTCTTCATAATGCACCATGTATCAAATGTCTTGATAAAAGTTGTATTGGGCCAAATGATTTGTAAATTTTGAGTCTCTAAGTATGCGTTTCCACGGGGTCCAAACGGATCATAATTTTTATTTATTCCATAACCATTTGGCACCCTACACAGATGTGTTATGTAAAAATCTCACTGTAAATAGTACTCTCCTGCCAGGTATAGTATCATGGTATGGTATTTTAGATCCCTTAAGTGGACTTGCACTGTCAGTGTGTAGATGTCTGTAAGTGACTGCCTGCGGCCTGATTCCACAGCTGCCATGTGTTCGAAAAAGACGAAGATAACGGATAGGAATGAAAAGAAACAGGAATGGCGGATGTTTTTAGGGACCCTTGACATGTTTGTGTGCATAAAATGACCGAATGATTTCTCTTTGATCCCTCTACATTGGTTTGAGGAGATATACATACAACATTTGAGGAAAATTAAGTGAGCTTAAGTTGTGCCATGGATTGTTGATGGGATCAAGAGATTGTTATAGACTAGCCATATGGAGCTCATTATTAACCTATAATTTTCCCCCCCCCTCCCTTCCCTACTACCATAAGATAGTGAGAAGTTGGCAAAACAGGTTGTTTTGAAACATTTTTGAGTTAGCGGACGTTCCGTGAGAATGTGTTCTGAATGTTTTGGCTTTTTTGTATCAAATATTATTCAGGACTATCTAAAATGTAAGATGCTATGTCGATAATTGCTGCAAATGAAAAATGAGATTTTAAAAAAATTATTTTTTTCCCCTTGGTTAAAAATGTGTAGGATTAGAAGGGAAAGATTAATGTGAACTGCAAGAACATTTTCTTTTTCTGTAGAAAATACTTGCATTTTTTTGTACTAGCAAATGTCAAAAAGTATGTACAAATTACTTGCCTGGTATGGTTATAAAATCATGCTAAATATTTGGTTTAAAAAAAGTATATTCTAAGCTGTCAGATGAGAATATGAGAGCATTTTTTTCTTTGCGTTGTTGTTGTGATGCCATGCTACTGACTGTTCCTCTACTGCTCGTGTGGTGCTACAGACTTTTGTCTCATCAGTCTGTAGCAGGAGTAAAGCATTTTATTGCCCTTTGTGTCAAAGGCAGCAGGTACAGCTTTGACTATTTTGGATCCAGGTGACCATGTGCACTGTTGTGGCTGGACACCAAAAACCTTCGGATGTCCATTGGTCGGGGTGATGTAAGCTCTTGCAAAAACCATATTGACTATGTGCACATTGTTTCATTGGCTTTCCTTTTTGCAGTATACATCTGAAAAAATGTGTGTCGCATCATTTGTTTGAACAGAATTATAGGTTTTTTATTATCATGAAGTCCTCTGAACAATGAGAAAGTAAATGAAGTTCAGATGTTTCTTTTGTTGTTGTTTACAACAGTATTTTAGTTGGTTGTAGAAATCTTGTCTTCAACCTGTCATAGACAGTGTTAGATAATTGAAGTTCATGTAAGCAGCTTAGTGTAATTATTACTGGTTACAGAAATTGTTTAACCTTGCATCTTTCTAAAAATATGTGCTACATAGAGGCAGTTTAAAAACACAATAATCATCATATCAGCTCGAAGCTATTCACAGTAAACTTTCAGGTGTTGCAAAGTTATTAAGTTCATTGCTTATTGTTCTTTCAGGATGATGATGAAGACAAAGATAAGGATAGAGATAAAGAGAGAAATTTGGTGAGAGAGAGGGAGATCAGGAGACAGGAGGAAAAACGTCAGAGAGAACGCATGGACCGTATGAGGGAACAGAGGGAAAGAGAGTCGACCAAAGAGCGAGACCGTGAGCGGGAGAGAGAGAGGGAAAGGGCCAGTGCCAGAGTCTCCAGATCAAGGTCTCGGTCTAATTCTCCTGCTCCTTCAAGGTCAAGGCGGAGGTCCAGGTCCAGGGAAATGACCAGCAGAGACAGGTCGAGAGAAAGGTACAGCCATTGTTTGTACATGTGATTTCAAGGACAAAATTTTGATTAACATATTTGAATGTCTTTTTCATCAGTTTTTGTCATGATTGGAGACATGGAATGATTTCAGGGTTTGGTGACAATGGTCAGGTTTATGCCTTGCAAATAAAGGGGTAGTAGAATTAGAAGTTGGGGCTTTGCTTTTGAAGGGGCTGAAGGGCGCCTCGTGGGTGCTTCTGTTCTTTCTCGTAGTTGTTTCTGCTTACCGTTAGCCCGCAATTAGTTACCTTTTTTTAGTTGATCTGCTTCTCTTCAATCAAACAAACAAGACTGGTGTAGAGCTTATTGTCTCATGCTTTTTTTGTTGTTGTTGGATGAACCAAATTCAGTGTTTATATTTTATTTGTGTACTTTGAAGAAAAGTTCTGTTTCCTCTCAACTCCACTCTTCTTTTAAAAAAGAATTTCCAGCCGATGTCTTCCAGTTTTGATGGTCTGTTTATGTTTGATCTTCTTCAGGAGAAAGGAAAGAGAAATTGAAGAGGAAGAGGAGGCATATGAGCGCAGAAAACTTGAGAAAAAATTGAGAGAAAAAGAAGCGGCATATCAAGAGGTATGTGATGTGGAATTTGCGTCTCCTTTATAATCTTAATTTTTGCAGGAGGTTATATGTGCACATAACAGATAAAATTGTATGTTTGAGCTTGTGGAAACTGATGATTATGATATTGATTTCCTTAGTGGGTAAGAGGTCATTCACATATTTTTGAGAAGATAGGATGTTTTTAAAAAAATCTTTATTTTGTTTATTTGACATCTGATTGAGCCACTTTTTGCTTTCACTACCACAGACGGCAGGACAGTCAGACTAGCAAGTAGATTAAGTAAGTTAAAGAAGTCTCAATCAAGTCCTTTTCTAAAGGCAAGTTTTTTAAATTGAAAAAAGCAAATGCGAAACTCACTTTGAAAATATTGATTTAAAAAACTGTGTTTCACTGTTTTGAATGCTATATGACATTCTTGCACCATCTATCTTTTTTTATTCTTGCTTCTTTCTTCCAGAGATTAAAGAACTGGGAAAGCAGAGAACGAAAGAAATCCAGAGAGCATGAAAAGGAAAATGAAAGGGAAGACGAAAGAAAAGTAGAAGAGGTGAGTACTTTTGTTGGTGTGGAAAAAACAGAAGAGAGGCTATATACAACAAGCCTTTTTAATATGTAGCTTTCCTGTCAATTTCAGTTTCATAGTTAAGATTCTAGTTACTGATAAATATTCATTCCTGAAGATGAAGTTCTGGTGCTTACCATTTAGTATCTTTCTTATATATTTTGTTTTAAGTTCATGTATTCACATGTTTGGTGACGCAGACCAGACCATCAGTCCATTTATGTTCATTCAATGTCATCAGAGACAGTAGTAATACTAGTGAAATCTTTAGTGTTGCAGGCAGTAGAGAACCGATATTGAAATAGTGACTTGTAACAGTTATATGTATGAGGAATAGAAATAGCTTTCAGGGACGGGGGAGTGTGTCTGTCTGTTTTTAAATTGAAAACAGAAGAGTATTTGGAAATTTATGTTTGTAATTGTGCATTAAAAAAAATACCAAGGTGAGAGTTCCATGGATACAATGGATACACTTCTCCTGTAACTTTGACGTTTTGTTTTATTGTTGATCAAGTTACTTGTATTCATGAACTGTTCCTCTTGAGGATGGTGTATATTGCTTGTCATATTCGTTCTTGTATGTTTTTGTTTTGCCAGGCCAGAGAGGGACGAAGACTGAAGGAATTCTTGGAAGACTATGATGATTTGAGGGATGATCCTAAATTTTACAAGTAAGTTTTTGGAAAGATTATGTGCAGACATAGAGAAAGAAGACATTCTTGGAATTGTGAAAAAAATGGAGTAGTATGTTAGGATTGACTTTTCCAGCATGAAGAGCAGTGGCATTTCATAAATTTAAATCAATATATTTATACTGACAATACTTTAAATGAAGCAGTTTTGGGTTGAAATATTTTAAAAGAAATTTGTTGACTTTGCAAATTGCATTCTTTATTAATTATGTAGATTGCTATGAATGAAAATTTTTGTTTTCTTAGGAATTAATTTTACTCACTTTGGAATGGTTTGTGCCAAAAGGTACTTCAGTTAAGCACAGTGCTACATCATGTGCACTGATCATGGAAGCTCTTCAGCTGGCTAATAATTGTTTTTAAAAGAACATGCTTTAGAAAAACAAATAGAAGTCGGTCTTGTCAATTTGTTGACATAGCATTACAAAGTCGGACATTTTATAAAATGTATATTGTTATGTTAGCACTGTGTCCCTCTCTGCATCCTTTTAAAAACTCCTTTACATCTGTTGTTAACTAACTTATTTCTCACTTTTTCCTTTCAGGGGCAGTGCTTTGCAGAGACGTCAAAAGGAAAGAGAAAAGGAGAAGGAACTGGACAATAGAGACCGACAGAGAGAGAAAGAAGAATTTGAAGAAATCAAAAGAAAACTGTTTGATGAAGGACACCCAGATGCAGAGACTGAAGTAGCAAGGGTAGGCAATGCTTGACAAGAAATATGAGACTGATGTCTGAAATGCTCCCGTTGTTGCCCTTTTGACAGCGGGTTATTGTAAGAGCATGGGGATGAGAGCTCTAGTGTTTGATGAATTGGAATTCTTAGAATGCATCTATCGTAGAAATTTAAAGTTTGTAAATGAGGACTTGCTTTTCCTCTTTACATCTGTGTTAAAAAATCACATTTGTAACATTAGATAATCTGGTGCTGTAAATGATTATGAATTTTTATAGAAAGAAAGGGCATGAATTTGGCCGAAAAAATGTTCAATGCACACACATCATCAAGCCGTAGTGTATTTGTTACTGGCATTTGGTTTGTTTTTACCCATTTATGCAATCTGCTTTCTCTCTAGGGGAGTAAGTGCTTGTGTCTTTTCCATACCTTATTGCCTGAGAAGAAGCTGACTTGAAGTCAGATTTGTGCACTATTCTAATTTTCTTGCTTGTATATTCTCCTTTATTCAGGCATCCTTATCATGGTCCTAAAATTTCAGGATGCTTTAAGTTAACTTGTCTTCAAAACTTGTCTTTCAGATGGAACGTGAGAGAGAAGAGCACCTGCAGCCTCGCTTGCATCTGCAAGAACTGAAGGCTCCAAACCCCCCACCCCCTCCCCCTGAGTCGGAGTCGGAAGACGAGCCGCTGGTTCATGAGAGACTACAGCCGGAGAGGCCTCGGCCAGAGTCGCCAAAACAGCAAGTTCACCAGCCGTCTCGCAACAGCGCCCCTCCCCTCCCGCCCCAGCTCCCACCGCACATGGCTGGTGGCGGCGGCGGTGAACACAAGCCGTCTCCCTCCCTATCCACCTCTCCCATCTCCACGGATTCGCGAATCAGTGCTCCAGGTCTGTTTATGGATGAATCTTCTCAGTCGTCTTTACCACCCACGGCCGGCCCTACTCTATCGTTGGCCAGGGAGGACCCTTTGCTGGCTGTCAGGGGGAAGAGATTAGGTTGGCTATATCAGTCCCTATCCTCACATTGGTGTAGCACGGCATGAAGCCAGCAGTATTTTGTATCTGCTTCAGTTTTTTTCTTGCTTGCGTGAAATTATTTATTATTGTGCTTTATTCAGTTAAATTTTGGTTTAGTTGCTGCTTATAGGTGACACCAGTTTGGGTTTTTCAGTCAGTTGTCTCTTTTTTCCTCACACATTTTATAAACTTGTCACACCCAGCAATGGGATTAACCACCAAATCTGTTATTTTCTACATTTAGTTTATGGGATACCTCTGTCGAAGGAAAATGGTCTCTATATTGGGGTTTTGATATTTTTATATAATATGTTTTTATCCTAGTGTTGTTGTTATTTGGGGGGGGGGGGGGGGGGTGTGTCCTTAACCAATAATGTGGAAGGTCAAATCTTGTTTTTGTCATGTCACTGCAAATTTTGTCTTTTTTTTCTGTCTGTGTACAAAGCATATGAGTGTTTAACCTACTGACTTTTTTCTAACACGTGTGCATTATTTTTGTTATAATTTTGAGGGGGCATCCTGCTTTTATTATTATATATTTATTCTTTTATTTATCTATTTGATAAATATTTGAAGATAATGAAAGTTCTTCCATGTGATGAGCTGACCTCTCACAGTTTAAATTTAAAAAAACAAACATTCCCTGTCAGAGAGATAGTTAAGATAAATATTTTAGGGATTTTTTTCCCGCATGTAATATCTGTTGGGTATAAATTATAAAGTATAATTTTATTTTACCATCTGAGTGTATCCCTCTTCCTTCATATAGCCTGTTTGCAGTTATTTTTGTGGTTTAACTTTTGCTCACACTTTTGAAATTTCTGTGTTCAGCAATTTTTGTGTGTGATTCTTCCAGCATCACATAACTTCTATGGGTTTTCAGATCATTATGTTTTATTGGATCTGGAAGATCATCAACTACTTAAGTTTTATATGGCCTTTCTTTTCTACCCTGCTTTTGATATTGTATGCCTGTGTTGGGAGTGCTTTTGGAAATATGTTTTAGGTGAGAGGTAATTTAGGCTTTAATGACATTTCACAGAACTTTTCTTTAAAGAAAACTTTTAATGTTGATTAGTTACTTCAGTAACAACCGTTGCCAAAAGTTCAACCTTAACCTCTCACTGTTGATGTAATGTTTTGTATGATTACCTATATCATGACATGTTATTCAGTGTCTGTGGTATAGCATTTTGGTGCTTTGTCAGTGTATGCAGAAGATGTGAGAGTTCAGTTCGGGTGTGGGTAGGCCTTTTTATGGAGTATCTCTGTCTGTCTGCTGGGATGTTGTGTTCCTCTCAGCACGGGTTGAATCAGCCCATTTACTAAGTTATCTAAATTGTGTCAATGGGGTAAAAGATGTGCAATTTCTATACCGGTATATGATGATGTTTGTTTAAACTTAATTGTTGTCTTCCCCCAGGTCCGAGTGTGAGCCCCGACTCCTCCAGCCTTCCTGGCGTTGTGCCCGCTGCTGATGGCAAGAGGAAAAAGCTGACAGTGGGAGATGTGTTCAACCAAGACGATGACGATAACGGGGAACCCAAGAAGCGGAAGCTGGTTCCGCTAGACTATGACGAAGAGAAGTCCACTCCAACAGAGAAGAAGACAGCCACCGCAGAAGAGAAGAGGCAAAAAATTAAACTGCTAATTGAAAGCATTCCCACTGCTAAAGATGAACTGTACGCTTTTACAGTGGATTGGGATATTGTTGATCAGGTAAATTGAAAAGAGTGGACGGTTGGAGGAGGATGCTTATAGGTCCTACTTCTTTTCTGCATTTTTGTCTGTCTGTGAATATCTTGCTTTTTTCCTGCATCAGATGCCTGCTTTTGTTTTAATGTGCATGTTTTATGTATACATTCAATACAGACCCCTTGCGGCAGTGCCACTGACTGTAGTGTCCTTAGGCCATTCCCAAAGGGGGGACATTTCTCGTTCAAGCATAGTAGAATTGTAAATGGGCTGATTCATGTCACGCTCATAACTGCCTGATCTACAAGAGGGAACTGCTTCTTTTTCTTTCCTGATCCTTACTATTGTCATTTTCCTCTACTTCTTTTGTATGTTTGTCACTCTCTTGTGACCCGCTATTTCCGGGGTGCCTTGATAGTCGAAGCTGACCTTGTGCTGTTGAAGCTAGAGAGGTGAGCAGTCTGATTCCCTGTAAGGACTTCTCTGTTGACACCCACCCCTTGGCGCTCATGTGACTGTATACAGTTGCAAGCGCTGTAAAACCCTCTACTATAAAAAAAAAATATTTAAAAAAATTTCAATACAGGTACTTGAACATAGCTCTGATTTGGTTGCTTTTGCAGAGTTTGATGGACAAGAGGATCAAACCGTGGGTGACCAAGAAAATTGTGGAGTATATAGGAGAAGAAGAACAAAGTCTTACAGACTTCATCTGCCAGAAAGTTGTCGCCAGAAGCACTCCACAGAGTATACAAAACGACGTTGCTATGGTAAGTGGATCAGCTTCCCAGTTATAGTGTAAAGCGCATAGAGCCTGCTGTTGAGCGGGGTTGTGCGCTATACAAATGCTATTTATTATTATTATTATTATGTTGAAATGATTGGTATTGGTGAGAGTAAAGTTTAATCGCCTTACACAATGTGCCATAGCCCATTATGGAGATCACAACCGGCTGTTTATTACATGTATTCCTGTTACACACTGCTGCAACCCTGTTATGATCCTCGCGGTGGTCCCTGATCTGTGAAAAAAAATATTAAAGGTGGGGGGAACGTACTTTTTTCTTGTCATCTTGTCGTTGACCGGTTGGGTTGTTATAAATTTGACTATTTGAACTAAAATTAAAATTCAGTAGTTGTCTTTTCCACGGTGAATGTCGTCTATTCTTGGACATGTACCATAGCCCAGTGTTTCTTTTTAGTTTCCTGTCCTCCAGAGCTCAGGGGTGGCCAAGTGTAGGTTTTTGGACTCACATTGTAGCTGTTGTGTGTAACATGACTTCATTTGTCCATACTGAGTAAACATGCAAATGTCAATATCAAAGAACTTCCTCATATTTTTGTCCAGCCCCCCCCCCCCTTTTTTTTTTCCATTTTTGTTTCTTTGGATAGTTCTGTGTTTCTATGATACATAGTTTATTTTCTAATTATTGTTGAATTCGTCAAGGAGGGAGCATTGAACATTATGACGTGTTTCTGTCTACGATAGGTTTCTGTTAAAGCAGGTTTGTCTGTATCTGTAAAATTATCTGAGTGTTTTTGGGGGTTTTTTTTCAGTTCATGCTGTAGAGATTCCTTTGTTTTTTGTTCTTTCAGATTCTGGATGAAGAAGCTGAGGTGTTTGTGGTGAAGATGTGGAGGCTGCTAGTGTATGAGACGGAAGCAAAGAAGCTGGGATTAGTCAAGTGATGACTCACAGCAGATGTTTGTTAATGAATATGGTGGGCAAAGTAGATGAAAATTTTGAGTTGGAAACAGGCAGTAAACTGTCTCCCACACTTATGGGATTTTTTTTGTCAGCCTCTAGTGTTGGAAAAACATGCAAATGGGGTGGCTTTGTTCCCCTGTGCTGGGTGTTGATTGCTTTAGCCAGCCAGTCATCAACCGTGAGTCAGTTGTTAACCTTTTATTGTGTAAAGATGTGAAGACATAATTGTTAACCCTTCCCTGAATTCATCTCAGATATTTTAAAAGCATAGCTCCGTTTCCTTGACATTTTTTGCCTTTTTCCATATCATTGACAAAGTTTGTTTGAAATTCAGATAAAAGATGAACGCTCATTTCTAGCACTTTAAGATTACTTTCTGAAACTTCTTTTGCTCTTTAGATGAGATAAAGAAAGAGACTGTTTCTATAGTCACTTAATAATTCTTGGTGTTACTTTGTTGTTCAATGTTTCGTTTGTTGTGTTAGGGGAACTTGAAATACTAAATAAACAGGTTCCATTTTGTTTGGGTAAAAAGAAAATATGACATTATAGACTGACTTAGGGGAACTTATATGATTTTGAAGAAATGAAACTTCAGTTGGCTCCACTTATCCCTCTGACTCTGAATCATCAAGTACCAAAGTATTGCTGTATTTACCTCAATGATTTTAGATATAATATGCTCAAATTTTAAGATGGGTTGAGATAAATGAGAAAATATGCTCAAATTTTAAGATTGGTTTGATAAAAATACGAAAATCCATTATCCGTAAAAATCACATGGTGTTGAAAGGGCTCTGCCACTCTTCGAATAGCTGTGAAAAATGAAAAAGAAATTGTGAATGTTGCCATGTAAAATCGAATGGGCACAGTCTAGTTCTGAAATTCTTCATCAAAGTGCTGGCTTTGATAGGATTTGCTTTATAGTTTTGAATGGCTGTGTGATGATGTCCCACTGTTATAGGTTCCCACCAGGAACATACATTATTGTTGGTTCTGTGTGAGTGTTGGCTGTGTTTATTGTTTTAATCAGTGGTGTTGAATGGTGTGAATATTGATGAATGTGTTGTTGGAACTTGACTGTGTCTGTCTGTGTTGGCGAGGAAACAGGGTGAGTATACTTGTTTGAGTAAAAGAGAGGGAGTGTTTGTGTGTGTGTGTGTGTGTGTGTGTGGATGAGGAAATTGCAAGCATAAGTGGTTGTGTCTGTCAGTGCACATGGGAATGGAAGCATGCTTTATGGAAAAATTGTTTTTAGCAGTTGGTGAGTGACAAGGGCAATGCTGATGAAAAGTAATGGGCTTGTTTTTTTCCATCAATTGCTATCATGAGACTTCCAGGTGTGAATTTATTTTTCTCCCCCCATATTATAAGGGCCCAAGTGTCACGGGGAAATGAGAGGTTTTAATGTGGTCAACAAACTGCCTGGTTTTTTGTGTGTTTTTTTTAATAGCCACATGTAAGCTCACCATATCTCTTTATTCAGGTGACTTTGGAAATAAAGATGTTGAATCAGCTCATAGCTCTTGTGTTTCTTATGGTGTGTTGTCAGTGGTTTAGCTATGTGTATGTTGATGTGATGTTTATATATATTTAAATAAAAATTACTGAAGAGTTTTATGGCATTTGCAACACATTAAGGTCATATAAGTGCTGAATTTTAAAAGTGTTACAAGAAAGTAACAAGCACAATAAAGGAGGGGAGATCGGGACAATGTACAAACATCTATGGTCTTATTCTCTCCTTTTCTGTATAAGGCCTACATATACTCTCTAATAATGTGGCTGGTTGGTGCGTGCTCTGGTGTGGTTTGTTACTTCTTTCCTACCAACATCTATCCTCTTCTCTCTCCTCATCTTTGTATTATTATGTTACTGTCTAGTAACACCTCTACTATTTGAGCGGGTGGTTAGAGGGTGCCGCTACTGGTAAGTCCAACATCTTTACTTTCCCTCTCTTGTTTCTGTCTGTCAGTCTTACTTTTTTCTCAACACTAAATGATCATTTTTGTGTCCACGCGCTTCTGCTCTTTATTCAGACAAACAAAACTAATCTTCAACACTTATACTTATAACATACTTATATGACCTATTTGTATTGCAAGTGCAGTAAAACTTACACTTACAACACTCTCCTCCTGTGTCTTCATTAGACTCGGGGGGGGGGTTAGTTGGTCATTTGATTTTTATTTTGTATCTTGACATTTTAATCCAAATACACAACTGAATGAGTGATTCTCATACCTAATTCTTAATCTTACATGACCCTATTATTCACCCTGGTCATCTGTGTGGGGTGATAAAGTTTCGATGACGTGACCACCACTGATAAAACGCCGTCTTCATCAGTACACAAAGTTCATACAAAGTTTAGGATCTGCCACTCTGAGCAGTGTCCATGCCTAACCTGCAGTCAAACAGCAAATCAAAATGTTCTCCAGTGGGTGGTTGGCGGGTGCTCTGGTGTGGTTTGCTTCTTCTTTCCTATGAAACATTTATCGTCCTTATCTCCCCTTGCCCCTTCTTCTTTTTTATGTTTGTTATTTACTCTCTTGTAAAACACCTCTAATCTTCTGGCGCTCATATGACCTTATGCAGTTGCGAGCGCCGTAAAACCTCTACTAAAACTAAAACATACTCCCAAGCGTGCCCAATGCATGAAGCACTGAGAAGGAAGTATTGACCCCAGTATTACTATTGTTCTGTAAGACAAGAAGCGACGGGCTCTCCTGGTTGCCTCTCTCAATAGGTCCCAGGTTCGAATCCGGATAGCGGGGTAAAAGTTTCTTCTCTAAAATTTACTCCTTTCACATCCTTTCCTGCTCTCAATAACTATAACATGAACAATGTTCTATGGTCTGCTTTCATCTCCTCTTTCTGCCCCACCCCCTTACCTCCTTTGCCCCTTCTGGGCTCCTGACTCTTTCGGCAGCCTTTCTGCTGCTTCTTGGCTTCTTCTTACTGCTGTCTTTCAGACACCCCTGATATTATGGTAGGTAAGATCTAACACCTAGCCTTCTCAGAAAAGGGCGAAAAATCTCGGAGGTCCGTCCCATGCGCAAGTTGCGCGCGTTAGTAGAGATCCCTTGGTGGACCAAAATCTTCGGTTTCGGCTACCACCTGGGCAAAATTCAAAATTTCCTACCAATTGAAAAGGTTTAATGCGTCTCGCGTGCTCATATGACCTCATGCAGTTGCAAAGGCAGTAGTAAAACACTTAACCCCAAAAATAAAAAAGACTCGAACTTCAAACACTGGGCCGTTGGCTGGTGCTCCGGTGTTGTTTACTCCTTCCCAATCCTATTATTATCCTTATTTCTTCTCCTTTTTTGTGACCGTTACTCTCTTGTAACACGTTTAATCTTCTGCACGTATCTTAATGTGTTATAAGTGCTGTAAAAACTCGTATTAGAACAAACCCTAAAAAGTGTACAATTCGTGAGCCTGGAGGCCCGTGGTGAACAGCAGCCTTTGCGCCAGATACATGTACCCTGTTGATGTCCATGTCATATGCATTCGGGTCTAAAAGTAAGATGGCCACTTTTCTACTGCTTCTCATTGGCTTGCTCCTTCCTACTAATCCTACTACTGTCTTTCAGCGTGGGTGGTTGGCGGGTGCTCTGGTGTGGTTTGCTTCTTCTTTCCTATAAAAAATATATCGTCCTTATCTCCCCTCCTTTTTTATGTTTGTTACTCTCTTGTAACACCTCTAATCTACTGGCGCTCACATGACCTTATGCAGTTGCGAGCGCCGAAAAACCTCTACTAAAACTAAACTGTCTTTCATCCACACCCCTGGTCTTACGGGAGGTAAGATTACGATCTACACCTAGACTTCTCGGACGAGGGCGCAAAATCTCGGAGGTCCCGTGTGCAAGTTGCGCTCTTTAACATTAAAGTATTTTAAAGATCCCTTGGTGGTCCAAAATCGATGAGGAGGCTTTGGCTACCACCTGGGCAAAATTCAAAATTTCCTTCCAGTTGAAAATATTTAATGTGTCTCGCGTGCTCGTAATTATTATGACCTCATGTAGTTGCGAAGGCAGTAAAACACTTACACACACACACAAAAAGACAAGAACCTCAAAAACTGGGCGGTTGGCTGGTGCTCCGGTGTTGTTTACTCCTACTTCTTCCCTATCCTATTATCCTTATGGCCCCTTATCATTATCTCTTCTCCTTTTTTTTGGTGATTGTTACTCTCTTGTAACACTTTTAATCTTAATGTGTTGTAATGTAAGTGCCGTAAAAACTCGTATTAGAACAAACCCTAAATGTATACAATTCGTGAGCCTGGAGGCCCGTGGTGAACAGCAGCTTCTGCACCAGATACATGTACTTTGTTGATGTCCATGTGCCTGTGGGTCTAAAACTTAAGTAAGATGGCCACTTTTCTGCAGCTTTTCTACTGCTTCTCCTTGGCTTGCTCCTTCTAACTGCCGTCGTTCAGCCACACCTCTGATCTTATAACTTATGGTAGGTAAGATCTATACTTAGCCTTCTCGGACAAGGGCGCAAAATCTCGGAGGTACCGTGTGCAAGTTGTGCACGTTAAAGATCCCTTGGTGATCCAAAATCGGTAAAAGTAAAAGTAGGCTACAGCCGCCACCCGGGCAAAATTCAAACTTTCATACCAACTGAAAATGTTTGGTGTGTCCCGCACGCTCACATGACATCTTATGCTTATGCAGCTGCGAGCACCGTAAAACACTCACAAAGAAAAAAAAGCACACAATTCTGGCCGCCTGACCACTTGCATTACTTTCACTACTCCGAGGCTAAGTCATTTTTGTGTGTTTTCTTGCTAATTCAATTAGTTAATTCTCGTTAGCGTCAGATCTTATCCCAAGCTTACGATGATCTTTTTTAACTCTTACTTTCTTCAGTCAGGTCGTCATGAGAGTGAGAGGCTTATGCTTGAGCACTCACTCGCTCACTCATTCACATGCATACACACACACACACACACACACACACCCT